TGTCACCTAAACAGAGTGCATGGAGGATGAACTTTGGGTCTATGATCGTCACCGATGCTCATCGGTAAGGTTCAATGGCGGCTACTGCTCTGGCGTTGGGCTGATGCGGTATTAGCGGCCCTGTCCCCCATGGTGACAGCATCGCTGTGCTCAGAGCCCCGAATGACTCGCGGGCTCCGGTGGCGGTACGGCCTCTGTTCTACCCACGCACGGCTGTATGCCAGCGTGCCACCCGGGCGAAAGCGGCGGGCGCCCCTGATCTGCCAGCTCTTCACCCGTCGATGGCAGGCAGGGGCTTTCTCGTACCGCGCCGCTTCATCCTCGAGCCGCCGTGCTGGAGGCACCGTCCATCACTACCTCTCGCGCCCGCAAGCTCCGTGCCAGACTGGAGGATGTACACTACCTCTCGCGCCCGCGAGCTCCGTGCCAGACTGGAGGATGTACACTGTCCCGCTCGGTAGCATGGCTTGCTTCCCTGGTGTAACAGTGCTGGCTTGGCGTTGTGTAGCATCGCTGGTTTGCCTTTATGAGAAATATTTCAACGTTTAACAAAATTAATCTGGCGAAGTTGTGTGACCCACGAGAGTATCAGCGACGTGCGAATGTATTCAAGTTATTGTGGTATCTTAATATTGGACTCATACTAGCACTGTAACCGCACCGAATCAAAAAGCCGCTTGAACGATTAGTGAATAAAATGAACTCTTGGCGCTCGTGAAATTCTGATATTCTCATATGTGCTAGTGACTCTGCCTGGACAACTAATGAAAAGGCAAAAAACCGAATCCTGCGGTAAACATCACCTTTGAACAAACTGAACACACGCAGACATGTAAGCTATCTGATTATGCGCACATTTTCGCGTGGGGCCTACTTAACGTGGATAATGTTATCATATAAGCCGTTGGTCTCGTTTGTTTTTGGAAATGTCACCGAGTCATCCATCTGACCTATCAGCTAGGGACGTTATTCGCCACTAATTTCATAATGGACCTCGTAATTTCATAATGATAATCTCTGCCAACGCATCACTCGAGCTTAGGTAGGCCATGATCTCATTGATTTTTGAAATGCCATCGAGCCATCTACATCGGCCTTGTTTGCTTGTGATGTCATTTACTGCTAGTCCCAAAATGCATCCCGCGATATCATTCTAATGATTTTGCATCGCATATTTGATATATAGGTTTATTCCCACATTGACATAAAACTATAAACAAGAGTGTGGTCGTAATATCTTTGCAGCTTTTCAGCGAGGTGATATAGATCGATGAACTGACATTACCTGGGGTAGCTATTCCCGCGAGAAAGCAATATTGCGCTTGTATACGCACTGGGGCTGAAATCCCACTGTGGCAAACTCGTGGCGCTGTTGTCGTTTTTCCCTGGTACCGTAGAAGCTGTTGGAGGGCATCCTCCTCTGTGTCGTCCAGCCAGAAGCGTGGTCACACGCATGGTCTTAAACATGCAGACCGAAGCAGCGCAAAACTATGATTTAACCGGCCCACAGCTTATAGTGATAAGCTTATCCACACAGGCTCATTTACGCTACGACTTGTTTGAAGGCATGGACACGGTGTGAAGTAGCTGGCGTAGAAAAGTTTCGTCATGTATTTCTTCCGAATGGCTTGCATGGTTGGCTTTGGGATCAGGTTACATGCTACGCGAGCCTACCCGTTTGCACTGCACACCGGGTTTGATGCCATCTAGTGCACACTTCCCAAAATATGAACTCTTTGATGGGGCAGGGCAGTCTCTCCCACAGATTGACCCATTCTCATAAAGTTCATGTGAGAAAACGGGTGATCCTATTTTAGTGAGAAAGAGTGGCGGTGTGTTCCAGTCGAAACTGGCATCACTTCTGATAATTGCGTGGTCGTGCAGGATAAGTGGAAACGGAATGTAATCTTGTTACGACCTGTACTGACCGGTCAAGCATACCTAAGCAAGATCTAAGCAAGACCTAAGCAAGACCCAAGCAAAAATGTCAAGATTACAATGGGCAGAGGTGACATTGCTGACCCAGTGCCATTCCCCCGATTTTTGACAGAAGGTTATTGGTCCTACCAATCAGATTCTAGTTGCATCTTCCTTACAACAAACAGAACCTTATCATCAACAACATCTTATCAAATATTATCAAAACATAAAAATAAAAAACAAAAGCATGTTGTCAAATACCTGTCAACGCCAGCAACAAAAAATACAAGGTACGTTTCCAGCGTTGTCTTGTGTCCTCGGCTGTCAGGTTATTTACCAAAATACTACCACCATTTGAAGCCCCGCTACCCTGGCTACCCGCGATATGATCCACGTTGAAACTTTCAGTAATTACATCGTAAAGAACAACTTAAGCAGTCGTTGCACATGGTGCATATTTTTCTGCCGTGGCAAAAATGCAGGCATCAGACGTGTCAGAAGAATATGTCACCGTGTTTTGCCCTCTTACTAAACCTTTCATCAAAAGGCTTAGTCTGTTTTCCCCGGCGCGTGTGGAAGTGGAATGTGCCACGCGAGCTTACGGTGACCGTCTTTGTGCCAAGCAGTCTGGCTGGCCATACCACACTCGTCATACCACACAATTATGTGTCCTGCTGGAACAATCCCACGCAGCGATGCGTACAATCCCTGGGTGCCGGCAGCAGCTGGCCTCGCCCGCCAGCTGGCCTGCCCCCCGTTGCGACGTACCTTGTAGCTGGAGGCTTTCTTGCGGAGCTCGACCACCTCCTCATACCAGGGCGTGGCGGGCGCGTCGCGGCCGGCGGCGCCCCCGTCCGCCGCGTCCTGCGCGCCGGAGAACCGGCCGTCCACATACGTGTAGTCGGAGAATGGCCGGAACTTGAGCTTGTACTCGGTGTTGAGCGCAGATCTGCCGGAGAGGGGGGGGGGGGGGTGAGCGGGGAGGGGCTGTGCCGGTTCGCCGCGGGCGGACGTGGCTACGCCGGGTGGGTTGGACTGTTGTTGCCAGGCCATCGCCCGAAATTGGCCTACAGTAGCTGTCGCAGTGGTCAGCCATTATGCTCGGAGTGGGCCGTAAATTCGCAGTGATGTGACGCTTGACAGTGATCTAGTAATATTGATGTGAGAGTCTGGCATCTCATTAACACATGGTGCAGGAACAACAGAACAGAAAAGTGTTGTCAAACTTCTCGGGAAGTGGAGGGATCAAGTATACAGCGGTAGATGGCAAAACTTTACCTAAAAAATGGGCAGCCCGCCTCTGGGACGTTCCTGCGCGTCTCGTTTGACGTGGGTTTGCCGTTCCCACACAGTGTACATGTCTAACAAAACAAAGGTTTTTGCACGTAACTATTGAAAACTTCGCTACTGTGCTTCAAGTTCCATCTCTGGCGATCTTATGATAATGCTAGGATAATGGTGTCAGTCTCAAGGTACACACTACCTTGCAAGCTTTAAGTAACTGCCATGGAGTCCTTTTCATTCAAGATGCGCTTTGATCAGCCCCGCCCCCCCCCCCCCTTAAAAACGCCAGCTCGTCACATGGGACAACAATGATATCGAGCAATTCCATCTTTAAGCACTGAGCAATCTAGATATCAGGCTGTCCTTCTCTCTCCGACTTGAATTAATCTGATCACCTGACTGCCTGATCTCCAGACGTGATTATATATGAATATTTTGCAACTGCCCTGTTTCCAGACATGTATTAATCCAGATATCATGCAACTGCTCCATCTCCAGAATTCAGGCAATTTGAACATCAGGCAATCCACCAACCTTAGAGACAGATTAATCTCAACATCACCTTTCTATCCGTCTCCCGATATCGTGTGTGCGAACGTGAGGTTATTCTTCTTTCCCATCTTTTTCAGACGTGCTGTGACCCGAATGTTCTTCTTTGTCTTCAGATCTGGATTAACATTGTATTAAATAATTCGACATCTCTAGACATGCCGCCATCGGAACATCAGGCAACTGTTCTGCCCACAGCCATGAGACGCCTAGTCTGGACGTCGAAAATCCCATCACCAACAGACGTGGCTCAAAGCAAAAACCTGATCATCGCGCTATCTTCATCTCTCCCTTGATATATCTTCATCTTCAGATATAGCTTAAGCTGCACATCAGACGGCGCCTCCGCCCCCAGACACGGGATAATCTTACTCAGCATGGACTCATCAGGGCGGGCATCGATTTACAATGACCGGCGTCGCATGGGTTGATTAAATCTTCAGTAAACCAATAGAGCGCAAGGCTAAGTTAGCCCGGGTCACGTAGGCTTCAGCACAGTCCCGAGCGACAACAGCAAGGCGGCGGGGTCTCCATCTGTACACCCTGCCACTGGGTGAGCTTTCGTCCCCAATGAGTGACTTGTATTGGTGTTAACATTTCATTCCCTAAGTTGGTCTGCGTGGCGCTCAAGAGACATCTACCGGCATTGTGATCCGTGCCCGGAAAGAAGCCAACAGCGGCAAAGTTCTGATGGGCGTGCCTGAGAGAGACGTGAGCGAGCAGTTTGGGAACGCAGTGAAAAGGCGTATCCCACGCCAGTACCCGACCGATAGCGTTGCCAGGCTACAAGCACCGCCCAGTCTGTACTTAAGTGTTCTGACCGTCAGCCGCCCCAGCGACGCGGTGGCGAGCTCACGAACAAAGTTAGAACAGCGCTCATGATCACCCTGCCAGCTTTCCAGCGACTATAGCCTGGAGGCTGGCGCCCTGTCCTTCCGTCATCCATGTCATCCACGTCTGGCTGCCACCGCAGCTGGTGCGCCTGCGGCCCTCGGCCGCAGCTGTCTGCGGTCCTCGGCCGCAGCTGTCTGCGGTCCCTGGTCGCAGCCCTCTGTAGTGCTCGGTCGCTGCCGTCTGCTGTCTGCGGTCCTCGATCCCAGCTGTATGCGGTCCTCGGCTGCAGCCGTCTGCGGTCCTTGGCCGCAACTGTTTGTGGTCCTCGGTCGCAGCCGTCTGCCGCCTGCGGTCCTCAGTCGGAGCCGTCTGCGGTCCGCGGTCGCGGCCGTTTGCCATCTGCCGTCCTCAGTCGGAGCCGTCTGCGGTCCTCATTCGGAGCCGTCTGCGGTCCTTGGCCGCAACTGTTTGTGGTCCTCGGTCGCAGCCGTCTGCCGCCTGCGGTCCTCAGTCGGAGCCGTCTGCGGTCCGCGGTCGCAGCCGTTTGCCGTCTGCGGTCCTCAGTCAGAGCCGTCTGCGGTCCGCGGTCGCAGCCGTTTGCCGTCTGCGGTCCTCAGTCGGAGCCGTCTGCGGTCCGCGGTCGCAGCCGTTTGCCGTCTGCCGTCCTCAGTCGGAGCCGTCTGCGGTCCGCGATCGCAGCCGTTTGCCATCTGCCGTCCTCAGTCGGAGCCGTCTGCGGTCCGCGGTCGCAGCCGTTTGCCATCTGCCGTCCTCAGTCGGAGCCGTCTGCGGTCCGCGGTCGCAGCCGTTTGCCGTCTGCGGTCCTCAGTCGGAGCCGTCTGCGGTCCGCGGTCGCAGCCGTTTGCCATCTGCCGTCCTCAGTCGGAGCCGTCTGCGGTCCGCGGTCGCAGCCGTTTGCCATCTGCCGTCCTCAGTCGGAGCCGTCTGCGGTCCGCGGTCGCAGCCGTTTGCCGTCTGCGGTCCTCAGTCGGAGCCGTCTGCGGTCCGCGGTCGCAGCCGTTTGCCGTCTGCCGTCCTCAGTCGGAGCCGTCTGCGGTCCGCGGTCGCAGCCGTTTGCCGTCTGCCGTCCTCAGTCGGAGCCGTCTGCGGTCCTCAGTCGGAGCCGTCTGCGGTCCTCAGTCGGAGCCGTCTGCGGTCCGCGATCGCAGCCGTTTGCCATCTGCCGTCCTCAGTCGGAGCCGTCTGCGGTCCTCATTCGGAGCCGTCTGCGGTCCGCGGTCGCGGCCGTTTGCCGTCTGCGGTCCCCCGCCACCAGCCCCATCGCTCTCCCCTCGCGTGAGGCCGCACCAGTTCATTCTGGCGGCATCGACCGCCGATGGCGCCGACCAGAAAAACGGCCCGCCCGTGGGAACGGCCGGAGATGAGCCAGACACAGCTCGAGCCCAGGAAGTGACCCTCTAATGGTCGTCCCTCCCCCCGGCTGGGCTGGCGACAGGCGGTTTTGGTTGGACTTCCTGACACGACCAAGGACGGCTTTCATGACATGGGATTTATCACACGGACCCGGTGGCGCGGTTAGAAGGGGAAGTGGCGGACGCGTGCACCAGAGCAAGGTTCGCGCTCAGCTGCGAAACAGCATTCGGTTCGTGAGTAGATGCTCAGTACTGTTCGCGTTCACGGGGTTTTCAGCAAAGCGTTTATAGCTACCACATCTTTCCCAAAATCTATAACCATCTTGTTGAAAATGTGAACTAACGTTTTGCACACACGGATGACATCTACTTTTCCTCGCTGGGACGAGTGGGCGGCGCGGTTAATGAAAGCCCTTTGGTTCTACGAAAGGATTCCCACAACCTGCAATATTTAGCTAGATGTTATTCCAGGTCGCTGACATCACCTGGCTCTCAAGGCACTGCACGGAAAATGTTAGGATGTGAGAAGGTGTGGTGTATAAGCGCTCGGCGATGAATTGCCTTCTTATTTCGGCGCGCATCGAGTATTCCCGATTACTTGCTGTGAAGCTCTGAAACTGTTATATCATGCACGCCATCACAGTTAGTGACCTTTAATAAAGGTCACTAACACATTTACATGGGGTTTTGAACTGAAATGGCCACCTTTAAGACCTTTCGGTGCTGCTCACAATGTTGTCCTTACGACCTAAGCTCTTCTAGTTTCTGGCCTACACGCCCGCGAAAATGGAGAAAGGTATATCAAGGAGAGCATTTCAAAGTCACCGTGGCATTCACGACATCATAGCAATGTCATTCAGATCCTACCATTCCATAAACCATGCAGCGATGAAGGCCAAGAAAACAAAACTGTCAGTGTTCAAATGTGGCGTTCGTGAGTGCGCTTTCCAGATATAACGGCTGGCCATGTGCTCTCAATCAATGTTGCGCAAGGTACGGTGATGTAATCAAACCATGACGCATTGACGAGTATATTTACTAATAAAAAATTGCGCTGTCTAGAGCAGTTTTTCCCACTTAAAAAGTATACCAATAGCAATAAGGGAGCCTGTTTCATCGTATCTGAAGCTTGATTCAGTATATTAAATGTGAAACATTCCATTTAATGTTATTTGAGGGTGAACCAATCGGTTCAAAGGTTCGTCCGGTCAGGCCTTTAAGATTATGCAGTGAGTTTTGGTTGTGTACCAATCACGGTGAGCCAATAAATTGGGGGTGAGGATTTGCAAAACAAGTTTGGGCTGAACAGTGATATTCGGTCAGGCCTGCGCCCCAAAAGCATTTTCTCCCCGGATTTGGTTCGCATTCTTCTCAAAGCTGTGGAGGGCTGGAGCCCCCAACTGGATAGGAAACTACAACTTTGCAATAGTCCCACGGCACATAAGCCGCAAAAGTGAAAAGCCAACAAGCCAAGGCAGTGGAAAGTTAGAGAATATCTTCAGGTGACGTCACATTGGACGTTGCTGGTGCACTTCGAACTCGAATCTTTGCAATGCCGGACCGTCATGCTAGCTCGAACTCGAACAGAACAGTGAATAGCCCTCATCGCTGGCTACTATGCATTTCACCCCTTGACCGATTTCTGTATTCTGAATTTTGAATTGAGTTTCTGAATTCCTGATGAGGTTTGGAATTCTTCTCGTTCCACCTCAAATCATGCGATCTCTAATCACGGCTTTGATCAAATGACATCACAAGGGCTATGAGTTTTGAAGCAGCAACCATGCCAAGTATGGAAAGGACTCCATGACTTTCGAGATACGACGCATAAAATGCAAATCACTAGGACTTCCTCAACACCAGCATGCATCTTTGCCTGGTATGTGGTGCACTGAAAACGAACACTGGTGGCCAATATTATACATATGACACGTGTTACCATCAAGAGGGTACATGCGTCTGGTGGTATTACTCCTTGTGCTGACCTCAGCACCGTCAGACGCATTATCCAGGGGGCGGTAACCCCTCCCCACCTGCTGGGGTACTGGATAAGCCATCGCGCACATTGTAAGCTGTGCTAGTTTCTCATCAATCGGCACGGTTAGTCGGGCTCCAAGGTGGTAGTGTGCTTTTTGTAATCAAGACAGGAGTTCCACCTCAGTCTTCAGGACAGACAAAGCAACTTACACGACGAACGAGCAGCTCGCAGAAACGAAGGGATGAGCATGACGTTCATCGTCTTTAAAAGAAGCAGATAAGATACAGATAACATCCTTCCGATCAGCATGTGAGCAATATTTGTTGTGTCGCGCGAAACACACAGAACTGTGACAAAACTTAAGCTGTGAGACAAAGGAAGCACTCACGAACGTAGTTGGGGCCCCACAATTTTTTTGCACGACCTTCGACGGCCAACGCCTTCAAACGGCTTCGTATTTTGATATGTGGTCAGTGACATCAGCAACAGATAAATGAAAGCGACATCCGTGCACCATTACGCTGTGATTTCCTGTCGCAAAAGGCTGGGGCACGACAATTCGTATCGGTTTAACTGCCCAGAATTCTTAGCCCGGGTCTCCTCCTTTCCTTCCAACAAGATATTGTGACTGAGTGCCTAACTGCTTGTCTGCCTCACGTAGTGAAGGACACCCGTCTGCGGCCTAGCTGCCGATAAATAAAATCGATATGACAGGGACCGCACCTTTTCTGCGTTGTCACCGGCTCTTGTGCCGCCGCTTTGGACGGGTTGCTCGGACCCATCCAAGAGCCTGAAAGGGAAAAACCTGTCAGAGGCGGGTACAGACGCTGCCCAGCTCGGAACTTGGGGCGTCACATCACTCAGGACTACAAGACAGCCGACTCCACCACAAGATCGGAGCGAGAGCCAGACGGACACCCTGAGGAAGATCACTCCTCGCCCCAGGCATGCCCAGCCCCGCCCTCCGGCACAAGCCACAGCGACACGCCGAAGAGCACTCAACACCGGCGAGGGGACACGCCGTCCCGCCGCGGCCTGCGTCCATCTCCTCCACTGATCCGAGGGGCGTGGCACCCCCGGCTGGTGAGAACGCCTCAGCTCGGGCGTGACTCAGCGCTCGGCGAGGGGCGGCGGCAGCGATGGCCGCCGTGCAGCCGGCGCCCGCTGCACCAGTTGCACCACTTCACCCCCGCTCGGAACTCACTGTCCTGCGTCAGCGGCACGGCGTCCGCCGCCGAGGCGTTGCAGTCGAAGCAGCGTAGCATGGCGCCGGCGGCGGCAGCGGCGGCGGACGGATCTCTCTGGGCGCACAGCGGCGCGGCGTGCGGCCCGGGCGGGGGGCGACGGCCAGCTGGCGGTCCCTCCCTGGCCGACCCGGCGCCAGCGCCGCCAGGGGCCGCCCCTCCGGACGCTGATCGACTCACCTCGGCGGCCGCCGCCGCCGCCGTCGCTGCCGTCGCTGCTCGCCGTGGCGGCACCCTCACCTGGCAGCATGGTGGTCGTCAACGGTCGTTGGCCAGCCGCATCAAAAACCCGCCTCCCAGGTCACGAATCTCCAGAGCGGTTTCGGGGGGCGCGCTCGATAAGGTGCGGTCGATGACGTCTCGGCGTCGCTGCCGGCGCAGCGGCGGAGTCGGCTTCGACGCCGGACTGGCAGCGGCCGCGCCGGTCCGATCGATAGCCGACAGCCACCGCCTCCGCCAGGGGAGGGGCAGCCGGAGGTCACCGCCAGGAGCCGCCGGGGGGCGCCGCGGGACGTGGCCTGGACCGGGACGGGGACCGAGGCCTCGGACGCCGCTGCCGGAGGCGGCGGTCAAAGTGAAGTCGGCATCGTAGCTGTCGGCCCGAGTGAAGCGCTAGAAGTCTGACAGGAGAGACGGGAGGCTCGGGCTTTTTAGCGGTTTCCATGCAGTCTGTAACTTATGCTAAAATGGACTGGACTTCTTCCGGACCGCCTAGCGGCAGGCATGATGCAGCATTTCTGTCCTTCCGTCATATTTATAGCGTGTTATGGCCTCCTCGGAGATAACGAGAGGCGTATGCTAGTGTTCCATTGAAAAATGTGGCTAGTTACGCCAACAATTCGCGTACTTTTGTCATGATTCTTCATTCATCATCTCGTCATCATTTTCATCATCACTCAACAGCGAAAGTGCTATGGTATCTCCAAATCATCTGCACGCATAGTATACCTAAACTAAGTTCCGCCATATACCGGTGAGTTCACAAAAATTGGAGTGAGACCCTTTTCACACAATGCATGTTTAGTTCGTGTCTCTCCTCCATTAGCTGGTGGCCAGTCCCAGCCCCAGACAAACTGCTGGTCGTTAAGCCACCAGAACTCTCAACGGACATGTTAACGGATCATAAGCGCATGTCCGGGGTAGAGTATCAGTTCTAAATCTCTGGTGTATGTAAGGACAGGCTACCGGCTGTTACCACGCCAAGCTTTGTCCGGAGGCTTGACTCTTACGACACATACAGTATCAGGTGGGTTACCATGATGATCTGCACACAACTCACGTCCAGGCTAGGCTACCGACCCACTTCACACCAGCTCACGGTAGGCTACCGACCCACGTCACACCAGCTCACGGTAGGCTGCCGACCCGCGTCACACCAGCTCACGGTAGGCTACCGATCCGCGTCACCCCAGCTCACGGTAGGCTACCGACCCGCTTCACACCAGCTTACGGTAGGCTACCGACCCGCTTCACACCAGCTCATGGTAGGCTACCGACCCGCGTCACACCAGCTCACGGTAGGCTGCCGACCCGCGTCACCCCAACTCACGGTAGGCTACCGACCCGCTTCACACCAGCTCACGGTAGGCTGTTGACCCGCTTCACACCAGCTCACGGTAGGCTACCGACCCGCGTCACACCAGCTCATGGTAGGCTACCGACCCGCTTCACACCAGCTCACGGTAGGCTGTTGACCCGCTTCACACCAGCTCACAGTAGGCTGTTGACCCGCTTCACACCAGCTCATGGTAGGTTGCCGACCCGCGTCACCCCAGCTCACGGTAGGCTACCGACCCGCGTCACCCCAGCTCACGGTAGGCTACCGACCCGCTTCACACCAGCTCACGGTAGGCTGTTAACCCGCTTCACACCAGCTCACGGTAGGCTACCGACCCGCGTCACACCAGCTCATGGTAGGCTGCCGACCCGCGTCACACCAGCTCACGGTAGGCTACCGACCCGCGTCACACCAGCTCACGGTAAGCTACCGACCCGCGTCACATCAACGCAGGCCTGGTACAAAACGCCGATCACGTTCTGAAGTTCTCGGCTTTTGTTTCATGAGACTCCTTGTGATCGAGGTGTTCATAAATAGCCAGGCCCGCAGTGCAACACATATCAGAACCAAAAGGCCGACATGTTTTGCTTGTGTCACGTTTCAATGAATGAATCATCATTAAATGTGTGAGACGAGAGATGTCTGACGCAAACCCATCAATCAAAATGTACCGTTAAGTGTCGCGCTATTTCACTTTCATTTTTTGTTGTTGCAGTTGAATGCTGCGCTTTTTCACGGGACTGTTCAATGCCTTAAGTTGCCTTGCTTGCCTTGTTAATTCAAGAAATGAAATACTCTCAGGAAAGTACTGTAACCAGATAGATATTAAGAGGACTACAAAATGGAAATGAAAAACGCGGGATATCCAATTTATAATACACAAAAGCTGCGCTCTTTCGTCTCCCCGTTTTCCATTCTTCACCTATTGACAAGTATACATGGTAAATGGAGCGTAGTAACCGTCCGAAATATTGGCTGTACACGGGGTGGAACAGGCCCGAGAACGCCGTTGAGAACGCGCAAACATCGAAAACACGTTCTGGGCTGCTGGCGACTTGGTGCGGCTGCTGGCGACCGCTAGACATGTGCCGCGTCATATATTCTTTAGATTCATTGATCCCGCATTAGACGCGAAGAAAAGATATTCGCTATTACTTTCTCTGGGAGCTTCCAGAATCCCGTGTGACAAATCATGTCACGCAGAATGCTTGTTTTTTACCCTGCAAGCAAATCCACGCGCAATGGTGAGTGCGTAGTGATAATAGCTGGTCTAAATGACACAATCAGCCGGCGAAAGAACAATGGGCGAAAATCCCACCGCAATCCGACCATTCCACGTGATTGCCCAGCGGTTGCAAGCCGGCGAAACACCGACGTGTCCTGATGGGGCGTGCTTCCGGGTAGGCGGGGGCAACAGCGGGTGCTAAACTCCGAGCCTTTAAGGGTCTATTGTGCCGATAGCTTTGCATAAACTAATGAACCCAGCATACTAACACGGAGCCATAGGGTGGAAAGCGCGAATTTGCCACACAGAGCGAAGCACAGATGTGTCGGAAAGGTCATTACGACATGGGTCGTATAATGTCGTCTGTGATCGAGCGCCAGTCTACAGTGACGCTCTTACCGACCCTTCCCTGAAAACGATGCTGTAACATCAAATGGTAAGTTTCTAACCGCCAGTATACGATGTCGAGAAGCAGGTCTACACAATGGCGTTAAGCGTTCCGCAAACTGTCCCCACCACATCGGGTTTCTATTCCCTTTTTAACGCCTCCATGAGGCCACGCACCCACCGCACCCCAGATTGACACAGGTGTAACTGAGCAGCGATTGTGAGCATGCAGAGTTCCCACGCTGGCATGTGGTTATGTAGCGGCCGAGTTTATCGGCATGCCAGACTGAGCGGAACGCTGGCCGCTCACGCTACCGTGATGGCTGGCAGATCGATGGTGGCTGCAGGTCGCGTGCGGCCTCGAGGTAACTCCCCGCCTGACTGCGATGCTAGCTATGCATGAAGCACTGCAATAATGCGATTTCCTGTACAGTTAAGAGTTGTGGTGGGGTGGGGCGAGGGAATGAAGCCCCCGACCGCCTTGCCGGACTTAAAACCCGTACCTCAACTCATCTTAAGAGAAAAAGAATCTGGAGCCGGTCTAAGCCTTGGAAAAGTCCAGTTTTACCAACTGAGCTTTTCGGGTAAAGGTTCCGCTTTTCGTCCATCTGCAGCTACCTCACTCCGCGTCTGCCCTAGACCAACTTCACCTTCAAGTATTTCGTTGGAAGCATCCACATCACTGTACTTAGACGCCTCCGAAGTACTGAAAACCTGAAATATAAAGCGGTGCAGCGGTGCCGAACTTGAACATAGCTGAACTTTGCTGCAGTCCATTCCGCGGCCGTCTCCGTTCAGCGTCGTCATTTCTGGCTATCCGATACGTTCTTACAAGCCCTCCCAGGACACCAGCGCCGCCTCCTCACACCGAGAGGTGACGCACACGCCACCTGCGCCCCGCGGCGGGCTCAGCGCGCCCAGCGCCACCCACGGCATCCCCCGCCCGCGCAGTAAGTCAGCGGCCACCCGGCGCTCCCGCCGGCACAATGGCGGCCGGCCGCCCCGGCGCGACACCAGCGCCACCTGGCCCGCCGCGCCCCGCATCGATCGACGGGCTACGCGGCGACGACTGCATGGCGGCGGCCATCGCTGACATGACCCCAGCCGGCCGCGCTGACCTCGAGACTGAGCCGTAGCTGCCGACCCGCCGCCCCGCGAGGCGCGGCTGCCTCCGTTCGCGGTGAGTAGCTCGCGCGGGCCAGCGTCTGCCTCGGCGGCCGCGTCCACCCCGCGTTCTGCGTCTTCCGCGTTGTGTTGTTCAGCGGGCGCCGCTCGCGACGGATGCTCGGTCGGCCCGATCAGAACGAGGGCTGCTGGGGTCTGGGAGGCGTCTGCTAGGGGTTTTGGGGGTCGTGCGGCTCCTTTGTGGTGCCAAGCAGTGAGGTACGTGGTTTTGGGTTTGCGTAGTGCTCGCTCGCTTGGTGTTCTAGAGTGTTCCAGTGTTCACCAGACGAATCGTGCATAATGGAGACGTTGTGTGGGTGTTTGGGGAGGGGCCATCTACAGCGCGCCCTTGTCCGACTTCTTCTGCATGGGATTTCTTTTGTCAAACGCTGGTAGGATCGACTTTTTGCATGGCGGGATGTTTGAGCCCATTATGTTAAGCAAATGCCGTGATTCATTCAAGGTCGGAGAGCGGCCTTTTATTTACAGTGATACCGATTACGCCCTCAAGCTTAATAATGGCGGCCTATCTTTCCATGTCTATACTTTTGTGAAGAAATTAAGGCGGGGTATTTGTATCACGGGTGGAATAATTTTCCGGACTATCGTCGTCGACCAGTGCGTTAGTACATACACAACGCCTCGGTCAGTTCACTCTCCGGCCACCGTTAGGTGTTCTGGTGACCTGAGAACCTTCGGAAACGTCGTATGCATGCTAAGACACCAGACGAGGACGAAAGTC